GAAAAGCCAGAAGTGCTGGAGAAAGAATGCCTTGAAAGCGTCTCTCACTCAGCGATACAGAGGAAGTTGGTAGGTGAAGACCAGTTTTTTCCCTTGATGCTGAGAAGCCTAAGTTACACTGAATGCTGTCTCTCAGAGTTTCTCAGCTGAACTGAGCTCCAGTTGCCCACAGGAGTGACTCTCTTGAAAACTCATACTTCATTCCTTCCCTGCTCTGTTGTATTCCCACCACTTAATGATTCAGCTTCCAGAATAAACTGTTTGCATTAGAATTCTTGCCTCAAGACCAGTTTCTAAAGGCACCAAGCCAAAGTGATTTGCTAGCCCTAGTGAATGCTATTCCAGGTGTGATCTGCAAATAGTACTCATTTATGAGGTGGTTGGAGTCAGGGTTTGCAAGGAGACAACTTAATATAGGCCACATAATTTATAGGATTATTTTATGATATTTACCCAAAGAATTAAATGCAAAAGAATGTGGGAGATCTGTCCACACACTAGAGACCAAAAAATCCAGCTAAGGGCCTGGATCCCATGGCAATGTTCTGCATGAGTCCAGTTGAAGCCCTAGAGCCCACGGCAATGATCTCCTTGAATCCAGACGGAGATCTAGAGCCCACAACAATGTTTCATGCAAGTCTGTTTTTTTAGATCTGTGCTGGCAAGACCCAAAGATCAGCAGTGGAAGCTAGAAAGTCTGCACCAGTGAGGTGAAGGATCTGTGCCAGCAGGCTGAGGGATCTGCACTGGAGCCAGGAAGTGATGCTCAAAGTAAGGATCAGAACTCCCCTAAAAAGAACCGCAGCCATCCTCAGTGGCAGGGAGGTCCGGAGCTCCTCCCACAATGAGAACAGCCAAGTTCATATCAGGAAGCCAGCACGACAAGCTTCTCCAGGGCACTCAACAGCACCCTCCTCCTCTCCTGTTCTCCTTTTATGCTGTTGACAACAATCCTCAGGTGGGCCTTCCATACCATACCGTGCTGATTCAGTTCAGCTGAATGTGACAAGTTGACCATCAGTTAATCTACCACAGAGGTGATTGCTATAAGTCTGTGATAAATTTAGCAACTGAGATTAAAAAAATTTTGGAAATTAAGCCAGGTGCAACGGTGCATAACTGTAATTGCAGCACTGAAAAAATGAGGTAGGAGGAGTCCAAATTTGAACTCAGCCTGGGAAACTTACTGACTTGTCCTGACTATGTCTCAGAAAAATAGAAACAGACTGGGGATATAGCTCAGTGCAAAGGCCCTGAGTTCAATCCCCAGGACCACCAAAAGCTTAAGATCAAGCTCAGGTGTAAAAAGGTTCAGAACCACTTAGGTAGATAGTGGGCTGCCTCCCTAATCTAACAATCAAAGGAGTTAGTGGGATCTAAAATGTACAATGCACCCTGTGAAAGTAAAAGGGGAGGAATTGTCTAAAAAAGGAAGGTAGAGGACATTGTTAATAGTGTATCAGGATTTAAAAGCCACATTGCTCTCATTGCTCTGTTTAGTTTGGTTATACTCTGTTCCAGTCTATCTACTTGTACTAGACTTGAAGGCATAGACAGCTATTCCAAAAATAGCAGGATATACTATAGTAACCATCCTTAATATCTTATTAACTTAATCTGAAACTCTGTCTTACTATGATTGATTTTATTTGAATCTGGTTTGTTAGATTACTGTCCTGTCTTGACTGATTTTATCCGAATCTGTTATGTTTGATAGTATCAAGCCTGATAGTATAGGAAACTACTCTGAAGACAGTAAGATTCACTAGGATACCCATTCGGGTTTGACTATTACCTGCTTTTGAAGTTCTAAAATGTTTCCAATGTTTTGTTTATATTGATATCGTTCTGTTCTGTACTGCTATGTTCAATTTTACTATGTCTGGTAGTGTAGACAATTCTATTGAAGATAATAAGAGACATCATAGTAACCATTGTAGATCATCTTGTATTGTGGTTTTAATCATGTGCTATATCCATTCTTTTGTTTTGAATGATCCCATTTTGTGTCCTTTCCCATTTGGTCTTGTTCTTTTCAAAATAAAATTTAAAAAAATAAAAAAATTTAAAAATTAATAAAATAAAAATGAAAAAATTTGAAAACTTTTATAGCAAAGTTTGATACTGTCCTGATATTTAAGTGTGAGATTTACAAAACAATACAGACTCTTACCTCTTTGTAGGACAGCACTAAGAAAAATGGCCCCAAGTATAACTGGAAAAACCTGCTCTTTGGAGATGGTGTGTGTAGGGGGCACTGAAGGGGTTGATGAAGGAGAAAACTAATAATTGCCCAAATTGCTGGAAGACAGAAGAGACCAATCCCACTTTGTTGTGAGGAGAGGATAGGCTGCGTGGCTGGCTGGTGGGGGCTGTATCGATGATCCTCACGTTGGCTGGAGAGACCCCCACTTACATGGATTCTTCTACTCTGCTCCCATGAAACAGTAATGGAAATTCTGCCATTTTTTTTTTTTATCTCTGTCTTATCTGCATGAAAACAAAGGCTGGAGATTGTGCTGTTTAACAACTTCTTTGCCTCTCTAAATCATACAGAAACTTTGATTTCAGTTGATCCTTTTCCAATAGTTTTGATATACTATCAGTTCCAGTCTGATGGTCTTTCAGATTTACAAAACTGAGAGACTAGTAGCAACGGATCATGGGTAATGGGCCTAAACCTCTTTGTTTTTAAACACTAAGATTCCTTGGCAAGCACTAAAGAGGTATGTGAAAAGTGTTTTGAAATTTCCTGCTTGAGTCACTAGGTCTTAGGATAGGTTCATTCACTAAGTTCAGAAAGCATTAAATGAGCAAAGCAAACATTTGCCTTTTGGTTCTGGCTACACCTTTGGGTGTGAGGGGACTTTGCCTCCTTCCCTCTGGACAAAGCTCTCTTTGGAGCTCCAGAGAGCTGGTGACCAGACTACAGCCAGAGGATTGGAATGGCGGTTTCGATGGGGTGAACTCAGGCAGGAGGTTCGAGTCCTACCTTACCACACCCTTGGAGGGTGTAATGACATCAGCCTCAGCAAACTGGGCGTTGAGAACCCAGAGACCAGAAACATTTGAATGCGAATGAGATTTACAATTAAAAAAAAGTTTTAGAATATTACTGCAAGGGGTTTAACTCTAGCCTAATGCATGGATTCAAGGGGAAATTTTGGAGGACAGTTTGGTATTGGGTTGAGGGGGGATGACCTTGAAACTCTGCCTTTGACTAGTGCTGTAACTTTAGGGTAGATACTAAGTGTTTAGGGCTCACGGTCTTGTTCTGAGAGGTAGGGATAATAAAAGTACTGGGGTAAGAGAGAAGGAACAAATGTAAGTAGGAAGGAGACAAGGAGACTACGGTTCTCAAACTCAATCAGAGTTACCCAAAGTTATTTGTCTGTTTACTGCACCTTTATTCCCTAGGCTTGTGCTTTACTCCATAGTCTCCTTTGTTTTTCTCCAGGCCCAACACATTCAATCCCTTAGAGGGAAGTTCGTGAAGTAAACTAACCAATAAGGTGAAGGCAGAAATGTGACTTTAAGAGGAAGCTATTCAACAGATGTAAATGTTCTTAGGGAAACCTTAGATCACCTATTTTGAAAGATACTCTAAGGTCACATAATAACTGAGCCCCACACCACAGTGCATCTCTCTTGAGCACCCTACCCTTTGAACATGTACAACTTCTACTTTGCCTAACAAATATGCCTTCACTTTTCAACAAGGTCTTGAAATTCTTCTTCTGTGAAGAAAGGTGATGAACCTGCTCTTTGGGGATGGTGCGTGTGTATGTGTGTGGGGGCCTGAAGGGGTGGACATTCCTCATCACAATTTGGGGGGATTCTTGTAATTGTACGTTAGAGAACTGCTATGAGGATTAAATAAGGTGATACATGCCATGTTAGCACAGGTTTTTTGCTCATCATATTATGTGATAAACATTATGAAAAGCCTTGTAAGTTTCCCCTGTAGCAGGAAGCATGTAGTATAGGACACTTTGGGTCTTGGTTAGAATAAATCCAGGGCCTGGGTACACTGTCCTGCTCTTCTCCATTCTCCTCTCTGACCTATCTACCCTGGATCTTCTCCCTCCTCCCATTTGAGTCCTACATGAAAGTTCTGGATTTGACCTTGAGCTTGAAGTAAATTATTCTTTTCCTAAATTCTACTGAACCAATCTTTAGAATGAAGGATTTTTTTTAGGTTGTAATTACAGAAAACTAGAAAAGGATCTGATAAGGATATCTGTGAATTGTTGTGGGGTATGCGTTGGCCAGGTAGGCTAGGATTGATGGTAGTGATGGAAAGTGAAAACTATGACTTTGGTGTGCAACCTTGACTGCTATTATACCTTGATTTGGGAGGAATCCCAGAATCTCTTGAGTCCCAGAGATGAAACGCATTATACGCATTTCATCATCGGAGCTCTTTTGTCATACTTAAACAATAGATGTATGAAAAGCTTTTGAACAAATATTTGGTTGAAGTAGATTTGAGTGTGGGCTTTTCCATTTGCTTCTAGCCAGGTTGCCGTTCCTGTCTTTATGTTTTATTTTGTTTTTGAAAGCATCATAACCCGATTGGAGATGTAGCTATCCATTTTCATGGAGTCTGTAATGTCAGGTCATGCAGTCTGAATCCATCCTGAAGTCAGCTTGTCAAACCATTAGCTTGTCTGATGGTATCAGCTTGCAAAGGAAAGGATCTTTCTTGAATTGTGAAACAAATCCAGGGTGGGATATCCTGGACATTCAGTTAGCCAATCCCCCACCCCTCTAAGGTGAGACCAGAGCATACGCAGGATATTGGAATGCATGTCCTGGGTATCAGAAATACAGAAATGTATCACACAGTATTGCAAAGCCACACACAGCCCCTGCTTTTTCATATCCATGAAGTAAGGATCTTTCAGTCCCAGATGCTGTGATCTTTGGGACACAAAACCTTTCCATAACTTCTTTTGGAATCCAATGACTCAAAATCAGAATGGAATGAAACTAGAAAGTAATTTAAAAAGTAATGTTTAATGAGTACACATTTACAAAAGTTCACCTTTCCTTAACATGGGGAAAGCATACTAGAACAAATGGTCTATGAACTTGGCAAACTTTTCGTAGAATACAGAAAACCAGCAATAAAGGAGTTCAGTCTAATTTTTAAAATGTAGAACAGTTTAGATGTGTGAGAAGAAATACAGTGCACCTGACGCACCTGTTTTCCTCTGTTCTGACTGGACCTTAGGCGAACTAGAGAAGTCCGTGGTGACAAGTTGTTTGATGGCTTCAAGTGCTGAGAGGGGCGCAGGGAGGAGTGGGAGAAAGAAGGTGGCTGTCTCTGGTAAGCTGGTAAGGCTTGGTGCCCTTGCGGCTGGGCTAAAGTTGAGCAGTGTAATACTTTTGCCAAAACCAGAGGGCTGCTCTTTAACTTTAGACCTGAACGGAAGGTTTTTATTAAGACGTGGGTTGAGCATTTCTCACAGGCTGTGCAGAGTAGAGTTTATTTTTTACTATGGATAAATGTTTTCCCTACGTGCAGCACTTTCTCTTTTTAGTGATGGACTATGACTGTTACTGCAATGGGAGTGCTTTTAACTCAAAGGCTTCCCTAGCTCAGTGTGGACACTCAGTGTTCCAGCCAGCTGTGTCCTGCATGGCTGTTTGCATAACGAGGGTGAGTAGTGACATTTTTTGTCTTTTCACTGAGGTCCTTGAGGAACCCCACATACCATAGCTACTCAAAGTCTTCCAGCTTTTTATATCCTTGCTTGGTGGATCAAGAAAAGGCTGGATTAAAGGCTCATATACTCTGTGTATCTTTGCAACTATTGATAAGAAAACACTAACTGAAATAAAACCCCAAATCTAAAATGGTTTGATGAAACTAAGGCCCTCATCCAATCCTAATGGTATTGATCAGATCAATTCACAATTAAGGTGGCAATACCTAGCAAACAAAGGGAACATTCTCTAATTTTGTAGTTATAATTTTGGCAAGCATTCTGAGGAGATAACTGATACTATGGAAATATAAGGCATGAAGATATTCTCTGAGTATTTTTAGTTTTGGTATACAAGAGACATACCCTCTATGCTCAATTAGGGCAGTTTAAAAAAACAGACAAGCCTCTCTTTGCTTTAAAATTAGGTAGCCATTAAATAAATGTCTATGTCATGTAGGACAGTGAAGCATTTAATAGATGAAGCAGGAAGTAAAACAATATACAGTACTGACAGAACTATGTTCGAAAAGTTTTATAGAAAAATATCCTGGATTGTGGGTGATGTTTTAATATATTTTAATCACTCTGTATTATGTTATATATAGTATATAATACTAAAAGTTAAAATGAGAGGGAAAAAGAAATGGTTTTTGTAGATTAAGCAGAAAAGTGTTAAGCCCCATGCCTGTTGGTGATCTCAGTGACATGTGGGAAGATTGTGCCCAAGTCTCCTTGTAGCAACATCCGTGAGCTGGGGTGGCTAATCCTGTTGAAGGTCACCTTGGAAAGGGCTCCATCCTATAGAAACAGAGTGAGCACCTTCCTACATTCCTGCAAGGATTTGACAAGGAACCAAGTCTCATAACAACCACTGCTCACACCTCTCTGCCCCATAACTGTCCATGATTTTCTCTCATCTATACATTGGCTAAATTTACATTTTCAGAAAATTCATATAAGTTTACTGCTTAAAATTAAAACAGACTAAGACAAATGACAGGTACATTATGTCCTTGTACTAGACATTAATTTCATAGATGACTAGTATTGAATATTATTTAGAAAAATATAATGTATAAAGCATTGCACAATAGCTGAAAATACCAAAACCAATATAGCACAGTTTGGCAATATTTATTTAGCTTGCTAGCTAAAGTTCTGGTTTATTTGAACATTTTGCACAAAGGCTGCTGTCAATACTTCCTTATTTATTACACATCAAGAAGAACTCAAATGGATATTTTTTCCCATTTTATTCAATCTCTCGTACACCCGTTCCTTAGAGAGGAAAGGACTGTATAAAAATTATGTAGATTTGCAAAATCCCAAGGCATGGTCGCTTCCAATAAGTTGTGTCTTAATATAGTTCCTTAAAGCAGACATTCACATGGCATAAGCCAAACCAAGTGACACATTTAACTATGGAGTTTGTTACTGCAGGGCTGCAGAGCACTTGCCCAGTATGAGCAAAGGTCTGGGTGTGACGCCCAGCAATGAGAGTAAAAATCACTGGGGGAATTTGTGTCTTTTGTTCAGCTATACCCAGCAAGGCCTGAGTTTCTGGCCACCATCAGGCTGTGTTTTCTGTCTCTTTAAGTTAGCCCTTGTATCAGAGCAGGAAGTTGCATGTACTTTTCCTGGATTTTGCAAGACATTATGTCACATTGGTTGCCCACAACAAAGAACCTTCTCAGCATGAAACCACAAGACTAATCTCCACCCCACATGCCTCTATCCTGCCTACCCAAGGGAGCTCCACAGCCTCCAGGGAAAGAAATGGTGAGGCCCTGAGCTCACTCACCACTGAGATAGAACGGAGGTCTCTTCTGATCTGGAACTTTCTCAAAATCCAGGCAAAATTTCCTTCTGTGAAGATAAACCTCAGATGGTGGTGGGGAACTAAAACTATCTTAACTGTGGCCGTGTCTTCCCTCACACATTTAATACTAGATTTCAGAGGCCCAGGTACATTCAGCTTTGTTTGAAACATCTGATTTTCTAAACAGTAGTGGTTTTGAGGATTTCGAGTTCTTCTCCCAGCCCTGGCGGATCCGGGTGAGGGTCTTGTCTATGCATGGCATGATGAGGATAAACTTGACCACCAGCACCGTGCAGGGGGCGATGAGCGCTAAGATGTAGGCTGACGGGAGATACCACCTCAGGGCCGAAGGGGTGAGGAACCTCTTCCCACCGTACACCAGCGTGTGGGCTGTGCACAAAGTCAGGGTCAAATAGCCCAGTTTGGACTGTAAACAAAAAACCAAAACCAAACAAAAAGCATATTAGCATTATTTTCCTTTCAAGCAAACACTATGAGCCAGTGGAGTTTATTTGTCAATCACCATAAACATTTGAAATCTTCAAGATTGAGGATGTTCTGATAAGTACAGAATAAAGCATTATTAAACTGTTTTAAGATGGTATTTCATTAAAAGAAAGACTGTTTAAAAATGACATGGTAGCTTTATCTTAACTTGGCTACATGGAAACATTTCCTAGGAGTAAACTCTTCTGATTCAGAATAAATAATGTTCCTTCCCTTGGTCCCCAGTGCTAAACTCTTATTTATCATTGATTCTGGAGGGTAGAGGTGACTATGATGTCAAGCTGCCCGTTAAATGTTACCGACCAAAAATACATGCTACTTACGGCATAAAGAGCAATTACTACATTTTTTACTTTGTAGATTTTCTATGGGGGGGGGGTGCTTCTAGATTCTAAAGCTCTGTTTATTTTGGCATTAATGCCTTGAGTGAAGGTGTTGTCATGAACACTCTTAGCTTGCACTTGGTTCCCTGGCAGGAACTGCAAGCTTTTGCATTCAAATCTAATTTCAATGACTAATGGTTTATTTTATGACACTGGTTCTCAGTGGGCCCGCATCAGAATCATCTAGAGGGCTTGTTAAAACTAACTGCTGGGCTCCACCTCTGGAGCCTGTGATTCAGCAGTCCTGGGTGTGGCCTGGGCCTTTGTGTATCTAACAAGTCCCCAAATGACCCAGAAACTGCTGCTGCTGCTGCCACAGTTAAGAATCAGTGATCTGCAGGGAGAGGCACTTAACAGGGATATTTACTAACTGGCTTTAATGAATGTCTGTGAAGTGATTGTTGCTTTGAACGTTTTAAATTTTTTTTTTCAAGATCTACCTTTATTAATATGTTCATGCCAGAACTTTAATTTTCAGAAGATGAAATTTTGTCTTTGGATTTCTTTTCAGCTTGTACCTAATACATGTCCAAACATAAAGTTGAATAATTTTTGGCAGTTTTCACTGTAAAGTCTTAGCTGAGGCTCCAGGAGCAGCCAGAAATCACAACAGGGGACCCCACAAGGAAATGAGACCACTATCCTCTTTCTAACCAGAGGTCAGAGTTTCAGATGTATGCGTTTAATGAGATTGCTAGAGAAACCATGGAGCATCACGCAAAATAAGGCCTGGCATGAGACAGAAGTGAGCATGTTTGTAAAGCCATACTCACCTTGCAACATTAAGTTTAAACCTTCAAATATTTACCTGCACAAATCGGAACTCTCTCCAGTTGACCATGTTGCTGACTGATGGCAAGGAGGTGATTCCCAAGAGTAAAAACAGAAAAAATCCAAGGATTCCCAAAGATACATAGGAATCACTAAGCCAGGCTAAAGAGATACTGAAGGGATCATCTTTCTTGTTTATCGCCTAAGAAAAATTATCAGCAATTTTTAAAAATACATTTTTTCCACAAATTGCCCACAATTTAAAAGGAACTAAAACATAATTTTTAATGTGTGATTTGCCCAAAGCAAATTGTATGGCATTTCTTATTGATCATTTAAAAATAAACACACTTAGAAGTAGTTTTGGTTAAAAAAAATCTGTTCTGCTGGTTATAATTCTTGGTTATAATTCTCTGTTTGCTATAATCTTTTAAAAAATTTTTTTAAAAATAAATTTTGACTCTAGAAATTGTGTAAGGAGTTTTAATTTACCTTGTAAATTGTAAAAAAAGTAAACACATTTCTTTACCAAATGGCTTTTTGTTCCCCAAAGCTTTATGCTCTTAAATAATACATCAGAATTCTACAATTCTGTAATATATCAAGTCTTCTTTATATCCTGATTATTCACACATAAAGTTTGAGTAGTTTCGCCTTGATGTTGTGATAATGTAACAGGGAGTCTCTCCTATTACAACTGAGAAGAATCAGACCCAAATAGTAGATTTTTTCCTGAGAAATATTTTAAGAAAAAAAATGTAGAGAAACCCACAAAGATATCATCAATGAGCTATTGACTCATCAGTATGTTTTTGCAATCTTTCATACTGCACTAGAACTAGTCAAAATCAGATATTTCTAAACTAGAACTGACTTAGAGCACTAAACTGGTTCTGAGTCTTTTTCTTTTTGAGACAGGATTTCACTATGCAATTTGCTCAATTTGTAGCTCAAGCTGGTCTTAACCTCAAAGTGATCTTCCTGCCTCATCCTCCCAGATGCTGGGATTATAGGTGTGTGCTGTCAAGTCCAGCTGATTCTGAGTCTGGTAATTATATATAACACACTATTTCATATTTGCTCAGAATCATTTTGTTTTCTTGTTATGGAGGCCAGTTTTCTGTAAGTCAAAAGCATTAAGGGCATTACAAACACTCTTGTGAGCTTGTTTGCACTGCTGCAGTGTATTTGAGCAGCCTCCTTACAGGACATTTGGCTTTCACTTCTGAACCTAAGGGGCAAACATAAAACCTTGCCAGTGTCGCAGTGAGTCCTGAGAGTGCAGATCTGTCTCCAAGTGAGCCCAGGGATCTAACTTGTACTCTCGATAGCTGTATGAGATCTGAAAGGATTCATTAAAACCCCAGATGTGATGTTTCTAATCCTACTTACTTTAGAAAATAAAGATGCTTACAAGAGTCATTTTCTATAGTTGTGAAACAGAACACGATACAGCAACATTCCCCTTTGATTTGGGAATAGGAGGATGCAAAGGAAAAGAGATTTACCTGGGTAACTGTTATGTTTCTCAACCTCCATCGTACGTAATACCGAATAGGAATCACGAGTGTGTAGATGACATGCAGGAAGGCGAACCCCAGGGCCACCAAACCGAGCTGCTTTCTGCAGAGCATCCAGTGGTCCAGCCAGTCTGGGAACCGGAAGTATTTGGTACCTCGGTAAAGTTGCAGGATGGCAGCGATAACACCGGGGAGGTAAACCAAGGCAAGCAGGACCAGTGCTGTTATCGGAAAGACACGGTTGGGAATGGAAATGGCCAGGCGAAATGTGTTATCTTCCTTTTTATAAACATAAGGGTAGATGATGTCTCTGATTACACAGTAGAAGAAGAAGAAGATGCACAGCATGGCAGACAAACACAAGGGGAACCTCCACATCGGGAAGAGCTGCAGGGGGTAGTTCTCAATCTCCTTGGCCGCCACCAGAGCTCCTCGATCCAGGGGAGTGAGTCCCAGAGTGCGGACAATATCCATCACTCTGTGTTTTGCGTTGGTGTCATTTCCGCAGACAAACACCTGGGTTAAAATAATTCATGAATTTGTATTTACACTTGTTCTTTAATAATTATTTTGGAAGTCTATATAAACATCACACAGAATTACATGTAGCAGTAAATTGCTTTCCTGACAGAGATGTGGAATAAATTCAGAAGATGGTGTTTTACACATGTGCATGTGTGTTGCATAGCTCAGGATCCAGGTGTTAAGTGGAGGGTGGTCTTGGGTTTATCACGCTGACCTGAGTTGTCCACTTCCTTCTGTGAGTGTGGGTATACATTACTCACGATTGCTTCCAATCTCTAGTCATGCATGAAACCAGTTTTATGCAAGGTAATGGGAGTGCAAAAGGATACCCAACAAGCTGTATTCATTTGTAGTGGAGATAAGAGGCCTCCAAAGACTGAGGTCTGTGGGTTCCATCCAATTAAAAGCTGACGGTTATAGACACTTAGAAATGAATCACAACAATTGACTACCCTTCACGATCAAGAAAATTATGCTTGGTACATATTAGAAAAATGGAATACTAGGCATTTTATTTTGAAATTTTATTTTGAGACTTCTGGGGTAAGTGCATATTAAAAGATTCACCTTTTAAATAGTGAGTGGAAATTATTTAATCTTACCTGTCGACTTGCATCCAGTGCTCCAGACTGGAGAGCCCAGGCTGAGATGGTATTAAATGCTTTTACCACGTGGGCTCCTGGCACCAACTGAGCAAGGTACTCTGCATTCGATTCTGGATACTGATTGATTTTGAGGTTGTTGCTGACATCTACCAATATTTTCCCATTGAGAACCTCAGTTAGATCTATGAAAAAATTATAGTGGTCCCTGTGGATTGCTACGATTATGATGTCAGATTTCTGGGCTGCTTCTGGGTAGCTCAAGACCTCTGCACCACTGGGCAGCAGGCTGGACATCTGGGGGTTTCGACTTCCATAAACAACAGCATGACCACACTGGAGCATCTTCAATCCCAGAGATCTCCCAAAATCCCCTGTCCCAAAAATACACACAGTCACTTGCTTTTGTGAAGAAGTCATGGTAAGAGGAAGTGCATTCATACAAGGGTTTTCCATTCCTGAAGACAAATCACAAAAACCAGAAATATGAGTGGCTGGGGCATGGAAAAATTAATTAGAATTACATCCAGGAACTAGTGTAATTAACAGATGTTCTAATCTTCTAATTGTCTCAAGTATATTCTCCCCCAAATTAGGCAAGAATAAAAATTGTCATGTATATTTTATTTAACAGAGTCACTAGTGTAAGCCTTTCTCTGTTGGATAAAGAGATGTAGTAAAAACACTTACTGGTGAAGGTTTTAAACTATGGACTTATATTGTAGTTAGTACATTAGTGAGCACCTGGTTCCAAATATGGTATTTGTATTAATAGATTTTCTAATATTGAGTTTATAGAATGAATCTTTGTATTCTTAGAATAATTTTCATTTGACCCACATACACTTTCTGCTTAAAAATTGCTGGATTCTGTTTGTTAATGTTTCACTTAGGGCTTTTGTGTCACTTATATAAATGAGTAAGCCTATAATTTCTGTATTAATGAGCCAATCATCAGATTTTGCTTTGAAAATTTTTGGAAACATAACTATGATTATTGTAAATATTTAAAAATTATCTGAACTAAAGTTAAATGATTCTTAGAAAATTCTTACACTCCCCACTTATTTCTATATGAAGCAGCTGTGCAGCATATGAATTTATCAAGATGCAGGTGTAGAAAACAGCTCAGGTGTAAATTTCTCTTATTTGTAATTTGTTCATGATCAGTTTTAATATTTTCTTCTTAAGATGCAACTTGGAAGTCCAGTGTACCATATTTGGGATGTTACTCTAATCCTTAAACTTTATTTTCACTCTCAAAACTTCAAAGAAATTGCTGAGTAAATGGAAGATGCAAAAATAATAAAGGGACATTAAAGTGTCACTGATTATTCATTAGTGATTCATTAGGCGGTTGGTTATTTCTTATGAATATTATATAAACTATGACTGATACTTTTTTGGATACATTTTCAGATTTGTTTAAACCTTCACGGTTCTCAGAGACTGAGGTCTCTGGGCTCTCTTTTGCTTCACTGCTTCCCAAAAGCTCAGTTTTGGTCCTACAGTTTATGTGTCTTGGTTTTTGTTCTGGGTTTACTCGTACACCTGTGCCTGCTTAGCTCTCTGCACCATAGTCCCGCAAGAACAGGCTTCATGGTTAAACCTTCCCTCTTTCTTCTGGCACACAACTGTTGTTTTCTTTTTTGAGATGGTCTCCCTAGTATTTCAGGCTGACCTTAAGCTCACTATGTAGCCCAGTGGCCTCAAGCTAGAGCAATCCTCCTGCTTCAGCCTCCTGAGTGCTGGGATTAGAGGTGTGCCCACCATGCTGGATTGGAGTGGCACACAGTGCTGAGATGTTTCATAGGGTCCCTGTTTTGACCCAGGGAACACAGCACTGGTCATCTCTAGCCATGGCCAACTTAATTTTGCTTGTACTGTCTTTCCCGTGATCCCTGGCCCTTTAACTCTCTTCTAGCTCCTCAGAAGCATCTCTTTAATAAGGTATCTGCACACAGCCCTTGCTTGCAAGATAATCCAGAAAAATATAATATTTTCTGATTTTTCTAAAAATGAAAATTACTTGGTTGGATGTGGTGGCACATGCCTGTCCTCCCAGCACTTGGGAAACTGAGGCAGGAGAATTGCCCTGAGTTCGAGGCCAATCTGAGTTACGTAGTGAGTTGTTCAAGGCCAGCCTGGGCTACGTAGTGAAATCTGATCTCAACAATCCATAAAAACAAAGGCAAGCAAGCAAACAAAAGTTACCATTCCAGGAAAAGTTACCATAATTAGAATGATGAGATAACGTAAAAACAAAAATCCTGGTAATTCTTTGCGTTTGAATGCTTGGGAAAATATCCTAATAATAGGCACTCACAGAAGTGGATTTATACATACTTTGCACTACAAAGGCGGTCAAATGAAGGGGGCATTTATAGTAAGTGTTATTGTGGAGAACGCTGTTACACCAGGACAGAGCTGTAATTCAAAATAACTGTGTGTTATCACAAATTCATGGAGGTAGTAGGTTTCCTGTGCAGACTTTAAAAAAAGTCCTAGATGGAAAAAACAGAGAATCATAAGAAAAGTGGTAAACAGGAGGATTTTCTAAGGAAAGAAGGGTGGAAATGGAACATGACGGAGTGTTTTCTGTTCTCTTTGCTCACCCCGCGGGCCCCATGCCTCGCTGTGTGGCTGGACAGGCCCCGAGTGTCTCTGGGAAGCGTGAGGACTCCGGTGGACGCAGAACTCCAGCTGGCAGTGACCCAGATCGAGGGCAAAGCCAGCGCCGGTGACCGGGGACATTGCGGGGCCTGCACCCCGCGTGGCAGTCAGCGGGGTCAGAGTGGCCCAGCCCCTCTGGACAGCAGACACCACGCGTTTTAAATGCTCACACCTGACGAAGCAGTGCCTGCAGAAACTGCCACTGTGACACAGGAATAGTGCCGGATGCCAGCGGGCACCTGACACACACATGGCTCTGCACGCGTGTCTCCCCGGCACCTCACACTTGCGTGCACTTGCACGCTCGGGACGTGGATCTGTGATCGCTTCGTCAGCTTCACTCCATAACTGCCCATTTGTTCTCTACCATTTCCTCACTTGAAGAAGGTTACACAGATAAAGCAACGTGTAAACATCGTGAGCCTGGCCTTCCCTTATCTGAGGTGTTGTACCTATTGTGTGCCTATTTGATTTCTGAGTAGGATTCTAAGCTGTGTGTATGCACCATCGTTTGTTGATTGAACCCAGAACCACAGAGTACATCTGTAGCACTGTTTCACTATGTAACATAGGGCAATTTGATAGTTTTCACTTCTGAGTATTGCAAAGTTGCTATGAACAGTCCTACCCAGGTTTTTGTATGAAAATAACTGTTCATTTGCCTGAGATAAAGGTTGGACAGTGCTTTCCAGAGTGGCTGTACTACGGTAGCAATTAAGGCGTGACTGCACTTCTCATTTTTGCTATTTTGATGTTTCATTGTGGTTTTAACTTGTGTTTCTCTAATGGCTAATGGTGCAGAACGTTGTTACCTGATTATTAGCCACCTGCAAATTCTCTTTATTGAGGCAGCTCTTTATATCTTTGGCTCATTTTCTTTTGCTTATTTTCTAACTGAAGCCATATATTTTTAACTTTGAGTTTTGACTATCCTTTATACATTTTAAATGAGTCCTCTGTCAGATCTGTAGTATACGCTCCCAACCCATAGTTTGTTTTATTTATTGTCCTATCAGAGTGTCTCACAGAAAAAGTTTTTAAATTGAAGTCAGCTGGGTGTAGTGACACACACCTGTAATCCCAGCACTTGGGAGGCTGAGGCAGGAGGAGCTCTGTGAGTTCAATGCCAACCTGAACTACATAGTGAGACCTGTCTCAAAAAACTGAAGATAGAAAATTGATGATGCCTAGTTTACTTTTGCTATTTAACAACTCATTTGAAACTCTAAATCCTAAATATTTTTTTCTACAAGTTTAAATTTTACACATTAATCCATGATCCATTTTTAGTTAACTGTGGCGCAATGTATAAGTTTTATGTCAAGGTTCATTTTTTGCCCATGAATATTAGCTAACTGCCGTCTTGCAATTCATTGAAAATACTGTATTTCATCGAATTGCTGTCATGCCTTTGTGAAATATCAATTTTTGGGCTAGGATGCAGTTCAGTTTGGTAGAGTACTTCCCTACATTGCACAGGGACCTCAGTTTAATTCTCAGTGCCAACAAAAGGTCAATTGTCCATGTCGGTATGGGTCAGTGTCTGCATTCTCTATTCTGTTCCACTGATTTAAATATCTGTTCCTATGCTAATAACCACAAAATGTTGATGGCTATAGATTAATAATATTGTAGACTAGGTTATAGTGACTGTCTCTACTGTATTTTTTTGCGAAATTATTATACAAAGAAGAGTTCCTTCTCTTTTCCATATAAGATTTAAAATAGTCATAAATAATCGTTATAGTTAGAAAAACCAATGCCTTAAAAATTCTTCAAACAATAAAAACTAGTTGATTTTGTTGTTTGTTTTTTGCGACTGAGTCTATGTAGTTCAGGCTGGCCTTGAACTCACTGTGTGGCCCAGGCTGGCTTTGCACTCACAGAGATCCTCTTGGCGCAGCTTCCAAATTCTGGGATTAGAGGTATGCACCACATGCAGCTTGGTAGATTTTTAAGGAGAGAAATATATAAAAACATAATAGCAGTGTGTGTGTGTGTGTGTGTGTGTGTGTGTGTGTGTGTGTGTGTAAAATGAATGTGAATTTAAAATTATATGATAGACTATAGGCACAGACTTTATTTAGATGGTAAGCCCTTTGTTATCAGCTAGCTTGGTCAAATAAAGTTTGTGCCTTCTCCATACCTTGGAATAGACCCTGTTCTCAGTTCTTTTAGTAAGAAAGATCAGCAACAAAACAATAGCTCTTCTAAAAGTGGCTACTTTCTTGCCTCTCACTTGGAAAATGGATTATTTGTTTCCCCCAAAGGCTTTACAGAATGAGGAAAAAAAATGTGTCAATACTTATGTGTATAATACCACTTATAGAAGGAAAAGGAAGAAAACTCTCTCCCTCTATCTGATGCAGATAATTATGAGAGGAAAAATTAGACACTATGAAATCCTCTTACTTTTTACATTCTCAAAACATTAAAAAAAAAACAATGAAGACATTCCTGTATGAAGGCTCAGCCTTAGTTACACACATCATTAGGAATCTTGTTTCTTAGCTTGCCTAAGTTTGCAAACTAAAAATGCAAAAAAAAGTTTCATATGAAAAACTTTTAGAAGTAATAAAGAAACCCACTATGAGGACAAAACTATCATCATCGTGACCTAGAAGTGTGAGTGACACAACGTAGTGTCTTCCTTCAGCCACTGAACAACTTCTAAGGGTTACACAGCTGCAAGCACTTCTGCAGAGGCGTGCACTAGAAAACAGTGTGGCTCTCCCTGGTACATACGAGGCTGGGCAAAACCTGGGCACTGGCTTTAATGTTCCTAATAAATCTCTAAAATAACGCTAAAATTGAGAATTGTTGCCTTAACTCTTTTATCGTTATTTTTGTTTGTTAGCTCTCTGTAATGGCCTGCAGCACTCTTTTCCTTTCCTGTTACACAGTGAAGCAGACAGGTTTGCTGAAATGCTAGTGAACTGTGTGCTGAGATTCTGAATCTATTCATGAGAGATGTAGTGGAGGTTTGTGTACCTAAAAACCCAAAGCCAAGCAAATAAATCTCGGAGCTCCTAAAGTACCCAGGGTTGAGCATCACTGAATACAGAAAAAGGTTTTGGTGAGGGGAGATCGAGTGGGGCCAGGTACTGGGGATCTTGTACTGGGTTCCCAAATCACTTCGCTTCCTTTACAGTTCTTTCTTTTAAGAACTTTTGGCAGGGAGGCTGTAATTCCTCTCCACGAAAAATTCAGAGCAAGAATCCTTGGGTGTGCAGGTGTTATGAGGAGAGGGCTAGACAGCCAGACTGGGGACATGGTGTCAGACTGCAGGAAGCTCTGATTGGCAACCCTCTCAAGGAAACCTCAAGAGCTGCTTTCTAGGACCCACAACATTACAGTACAGTTTGATCAAAGCTCACAGATGGGTCATGGGATTACCTCACAGCCAGTCTCTCCTAGAAAGCACACTGTCTTGTTAGTCACTTGTATAAAATCATTGTTAAAGTCTCTATTTGAGAACCCAGCTTTGGATTTGGAACATCTGATTTTCTAAGGCACAATCCAGTTCCCTGTGGATGGACACACACCACACACACACACTTACACACACACATACACGCATAACTCTGTGTTGTAGTACACAAATTCAGTGGTTTGGCTCCTCATTTTCCAGAAAGATGGAATAAGTAGCACCTTCAAACTGTTTAAAATGTGACAGGACTTTTTCTTTAAATTTGATGCCTATGAACAGAGCTTTTTTGGGTTCATTCTGTTGTGTATTCCTTCTGAAAATCTTCACTAACATAATCACATCTCTGTCTCTATAGCTATATGTATATTTGAGGCTTAGCTTATCAGTCAAATATTTCCTTCTGTCACAAGTAGAGGGGCAGGAGGGGCTGTGCAGTGATGTGGTTAGAGCATTTGTTTTAATATATCCCAGGGGCAACTGGAGAGCAAAACTGTTTTAAAAAATATCAAATCCTTATCCTAACACATGAGCCCATCCAATTTGTCCACTGAACTATTTCTGTTTTTAGTAAGATCAAGGCTTTTTAGGGAAAATAAACATATTTGCATTTTACTGAAAATGAGGTACATCCCGCTGTAGTCAAATCAGGAGGCTTTGGTTTAGAAAGGCCACAGATAATATTTTATCAAAAAACTAATGTGGCAAAGGCAGTCGTGAGTTTGACCCCTGGTACCGATAAAAACAAAAAAGACAACAAAACAAAACAAAACAAAACAAAAAAACTAATGTGTCCATATTTAATGAATTTTCCTGATTCTTTTGGACATCTATCATTATTTGTAAGTGAACTGAAAATATGAATGTATATTTTTAATTTTAGCCTTGTAGTTAAAAGTACCTCTGTTTCCAAGGGTCATTACTCCTGGTGGCATTGATGTAGATTTCTCAAAAAGCTCTCTTTTAATATACACGATAACCTTGGTAAATATTTATTGATTCCCTGTTTTGTACCACATACAATTCTATATGCTGAGGATAAAATAGGCGAAGAATACAGATGACTTATAGAGTTAAAACTGAGTGTGTGTGTGTGTGTGTGTGTGTGTGTGTGTGTGTGGTGCCCGGGATACAACGTGGTGCCTCTGAGCCTCAGTGCCTCCGTGCCTTGTGCATACTAAGCAAGCACTTCCTTTACCTCTTAACTTTACCTCTTTTATTTTACCCCAGCATTTAAAAGTATTTTAACTCCTTAAAAAGTGACAAGACAGACAGAAATCCAAATTTATGTGCTTCAAAAACTGTGTGTGTATATTGCTGTAAACAAGTTAGATGATGTATGGATAAATAATAAGGTGATTTCAGATGGCAGTAAGTGCTTTGAAGATTATAGAACAGGGTTACAGGATGAAAAATGCTGCACAAGAGAACAGCAGTCTATTTTCTAGATCTTGTCAGCCTAAGTTTCTAAAGAGCTGCCAAGTGAATGTTGCCAAATTTAGCCAATAAAATACATAACGTCCAATTAAATTTGCATTTAAAACAATGAATAACTTTTTAGTTCAAGTATTTCCCTTGCCTGTTTGGGACATGCACACTAACAACTTTTAACATGAAATTCACATTGGCTGGGGCAGCATAGATTTTATCTGGATTTAATCTGAATGAACCTGACACCAGGGAAGATGCATTGCTTCCGAGGAGACTTCACAGGCAGAAGGGAAGCGAGGTGTAGGTGTTACCAGCTGAGGTAGGAAAGGATCACCCTCACATGGACACTCTTAGAAAATGATTTTGGACCTGATTAGTACAGAAGCTGTGATGGATATTTCAAAGCAATCTCGTGGTTGGTCCTATAACCTGGAAGATTGTGAGCCACTCCTGCACCACTGGGGGGTCTTTATAACTGAGGGATAATTGGAGAGTGTGTTCTCAAAGACAGGGTCAGCTGGAAAGCAACCACAAACTTGTCATTTTTAATTGGAACTAATCAGAACCAAGATAAGATAATTTTGAAATTAAAATATAATTCAACTGGAAATCGTAATTCTAATTACACCAAACTTGCATTTGTTAAAAGAACACAAACACACATAAATCCACACATACGTGTGCACTCATGTACATACACACACCATTGTTTTACTCAAAAGGGAGACAAACTTGAATTAAGGAGCTTTAAAGCTTACCCAAACTATTTTTCAGACCCCATGTCTATTTTACATCTGCATGTCTCCTCTCACAAGTTCCTATTGTGGTCCAGTCTCTTAGCACCACATTGATCAGAGTAAATATTAAAGGAACTGTTATGGATGATACATTGTGTCAACTTGAGAAGTTTAGAAGTTTAACTGAGAGGCTCAGCAGGGAACCAGGATCCTTACTATGTAAACATCCTCAGCCTGTGCAAAAGAAGGCACAGTGAGCTGCACTTGCCCTGAAGGTGGGGTAGGGGGTATAGGGGAAGGGGTTAGGGGTGGGATGGTGGCCTGGTACAATATAAGGGAGGAGAAGATGCTGTTACCCTTTTCCCTCTGGTTGCTGCTGCTTTGAACTGTTGCCCCTCTGCCATGTGCCACCCTGCCTTGGAACCAGCTGATTATGAACTGAAACCTCCAAAAACTGTAAGGTAGATAAACCTCTCCTTCTTTCATTTTGGGTGTTGCATATTTTGTCCTAGCAATGAGGGAAAATTAAAAGTAACCAAGACAGCAACTTCACATCAAGATAAATCAGTACTTTGTGATTTCCATAATAAATTCTGATAACTGGAATCTATATTTTAAAGCTCCCCATTTAAATAAACAACTGAAGATGTTTCTGAAAAACAATTATTTCCATTGTATTGTGAGGCATCTCATAGTTACCTAAGTTACCTAGTGTAGGGCCTTCACACTGAGCTACAGTCCCAGTCCTTAAAAATTTCTTTTCGTTTATCGTGAGACAGGGCTTCACCAAGTTATCCAGGCTAGGTTTGAATTTAGAATCCTTCTGCTTCAGCCTCCCAGAGTGCTGGGATTAGAGGTGTACACCATCATACCTGATTTAAGATTCGCTTTTATGTTAGCCCATAAGATGACACAAAAGAAAATAGTAATCTTAACTTTTTCAGTTTGATCAAGTCACAAGATCATAACTGCAGATCACCTTCACATCATTGTTCTTCATCTTTAGTTGCACTGACATGGCTGCCTCAATGTCCTGAATCGTTTGAAAATGTTTACCTTCCCAGTCATTTTGACTTTTGGATCTGGTGCACAAGGTGGATGAGGAAACTCCATAATGTTTTTAGGAGCCTGCCTTTATGTCAGGTGACACCCCAAAGGCATCATTTTCCACATTTTTGATCACTTCTTGTAAGAACACTCAAGAAAG